ATTCAAGAAGAGGTACTCTAGAGAAAGTTCGAAATGGCAAAACGAGAAAAATGGAAGAGGAGACCCCTTTATATAGGGGCAATTTCCATCATTGGGCACGAGAAACGAAACGGCGCATTAAATGCGCACGACATCCCATGCTGGGAAAAGCGGCTCGAGGCAATGATGAAGGACGGGTGGCAGTTGGGAAACCCTTCGTCTCCTTACAACGCGTGTCCTCGGTGTCAGAAGATCGAAGGCTGGGGGCAGTTGATGAGACTTTTCTGAAATGCCCTGTGATGAAGACACGTGTCCTCGGTTTTACTAAAACACTGTTGCTAAGATCAAGCACCATCGGCGCACGAATGTCCTCGCCCCCGAGGTACCGTCGTATAGGATCATACGTTCAGTATATTTTACAACCGACAAGTGTCCTCGGTCAGATATGTACCTCGGTCGGCAACCTCCCTCGGTCCCCGAGATGATCCCCTTCCTCGGTGCCGAGAGGTACCCGTCCTGGACACTTCCTCTACTCCAGGATAAGCTATTGACGTACAGGTCATTAGCCTAGGCTAGTTTAGGCTATTCATCATGACCTCGTCTTACACAAGTAATGCCAGAACGTACTCGAATACAGAGGTCACAGCTAATAAGGGATGGACGCGTGGCGTATGATATCACAACAAAGACAGACAAACCGCATGCCGTTGCTGACACGCGACTTTGAAAAGCAAACAATTAATTGCACCATTCCCTTGTTGAGACCGCATTCAATGCGGTAAGGCTCGGAAATGAAAGGCAATAAATGCTCCTATTACAGAGCATTTATTGCATCCTCCCCGAGAGGAGCACATTGTACCGTCGGCATCCCGATGACCCAGCATTGATTACTCGGGACCCCGAGCAGTTAATTAGAGAAGACAATCCTCATCAGAATCAATGCATACGCTACCTGTGCCTAATGATCACCTACTGACCACACTGACAGCAATCATGAGCCTTTAAGGTATAAATACCCCTTGCAAAAGGCAAAACGGGTATGCAACAACAAACTCTCTACTACACCACACACGACACACTCAGTGTTTTCTCCTTTCTCTCTCTCTCTTTATCAAAGACTGACTAGATCGTCGGAGGGGATACGCCGGAAAACACTCCGGCGCCCTTCTAACTTGTTCTTCTTTGTTCCAGGAACCTTTTTCAGCCTTACAGGATCGTTCTTCCTTTCCCAGGGTCTCCCGCTGCCGTTCCAGGTTATCACCGTACCTTGCAGGCTGTCCCAAGCAGCGTGTTTTGGTCACTCAACCGGCTCACTCGAAGTTCACCAAGGGAGAGATCTGTTCTCGTTTTTTATATTGTGCAGGATCTTACACGCACACCTAGTAAAAAAAAAAGTGTTAGTAGTTTTTACTCCTTGAAGTTTGCATCTATTCGCAAGTCAATGTATTAAAAAAAATTAGGGACCAAAGTGAAAATAAATGTAGCCCTCAATGAAGACTATCAATGTTTTAGTAAGTCATCTCACATATTTTGTAAACTTCTCATGTTTCTAACTATTGCTACAGAGAACTTGATGTGGATCTTTTTTCATGATAATATACGTGACGTGCACGATATTACATAGTGGGGGAGTGAATGGATTTTTTGGTTTTACTCCCAATCATTTATAAATTACAATTTAATTCTACATCAATTCCCTTTTCGCTCAAATACATAGTAATTTAGTGCGAGAATGTCTTTTAATCACCACGGCTCAACAAACTCATGAATATTGATGTTAATTAATTTTTTATTTAATTGGCTTAAACACTCAATCACGATGACCCAAAAATCAAAGACCGAAAGCTCAAATGCAACTATAGATGAAAAGATGTCAGCCAATCATTCATATAAACATATAGTGTGCGTGTGTTCAAACAATCACAAATGTATAAACACAAATAATAAATAAAATAAGTGATTTGTTCTGGTGAAAAACCATTATTGGAAAAAATTGCGCAGGACAACTAGGGGATTACCAAAATCTAATCCACTACTCTCAAAATTAATCTACAAGTACTCGAGTCTTATACCTTAAATAATATCATATTTAAATGCTCATTTCCTTCATAGATATCTCTTGCAAAAGTCCCTCTTCAATTACTTGTGGAACTTTACTTGAATTCACATCTTCGAGGATTCTTTAAGTCTCGGGCAATCATGAGGTGATTAACCATCAAAAGTGTTATTTTATTATATTTAATAATTTATTAATTGCATATTATTTGTGATTAAATCTATTAGATTCCTTAATTTTATTAGTTTGATATTTTGTTCTAATTTTTTGATTTATTTTTGTAGGTAATTTAACTGATTTAAAGTAATAATAGACAAGGCAAGTGAAACAAATACTGGAGAAATAATCACAGTTGAAGTTTTTACCCTTTCCTAGTAAAGTCTAAAAATTCAACTTTTATTTTGATTTGTGTCTTATTACATGTGTTGATGGATGTGTTGAGAACAAAAATTTTGATAGGTTTTATACCAGAAAATTGATATAAAACAAAAATATATGACATAAATTAAAACGATTACTAAATATGTTTTGTGTTTTAGTTTTCAAATTTTCTAAAACAGAAACTGCAACCAAAAACATTTTATGCTTCAACTTTTTACCACAAAAAAATAAAAATTAATTCTATTTATATTTTCTTTTAAACATAAAAACAAAAGTATTACCAAATGCACCCTAAATAAAAATTCAAACACAGCAGAAAAGGACGGTTCAGGGCTGCTGCAGTTTTTCGAGGAAAAGAAAGGAAAGGAGTAGGAGAGAGAAAAAGATGATAGGTTGATTAAAAAACATTTAATGATAGAGAACTTAAATTTGAGATCCCAAATGATATTTCAAATTAATAGAGATCATTGGATCAATGGATCATATTGAAAAAACTTGAAGTGAGTCATTCATCCAATAATTCTTGCCCATTTGAAATACTATTTGGGATTTCAAATTTGAAAAGGTTTTGTTATGCTTAACAATTTTTTTACGAAATCTCCATCCCAAATGACGTGGCACAATTTTTCACCATCACATAAGTAGGTCACATTAATATTTAATACCGGAGGTTGTGCCACATCATTTAGTATGAAAGATTTGATAAAATTTTTTTGGTAAGTAAAGCATTTTCCAATTTGAAATCTAAAAGTACAAAATACTGCAATTTCAACTTTCTTGTGCAGGCAAACAAGCATGCCTTTAAACATTGTCCCTACCTAATGACTTTAAGAAGATTTGCGTGTCATGCTGTATTTTTCTATCTTACGCATGTTTTACAACTGTATATAAAATAAGGACAAATATTTTTCTATCTTACACATGGTTCCTAGAAGACTTTCTTTGGACTTAATGATTTAAAAATTATAAGGCCTGGATTTACGCATTTTTTTTCCCTAAATTAAACAGCCATAATGCGCAAACACTTCCATTGTTCTAGTCATCAATACTAAGAAGGTAGTTTATGATCAATAAAACCCTTATTCTAACTTCAACATGCGGTTGAGTGGAAGCAACAACTTTACTTTGTTCAAAAATTTAAGTGATCACCATATACAAACATTGACATGTCTGGTTCGGGTGCAAACAAATGATGGAATTGAGTAATTGATTCTAATTCAATCTATATAAATGGTGTTAATAAAAGTACTATTTGATCAAATCCGTGTGTAACAGATTTGGATCAAAATTGAGATAATTTATAAATTTATAATTATAATAACAAATTTATAATTAGATTAGGTAATAGTATATGATATTAAATTGAAAATGACAAATTAAATATTAAGGGCAAGAATTTGTATAATGTGTAATTTTTATATGAAGGTATGGGTCGAGATTTGCAAGGATAATAAAGTCATTACATTTTTAATTTTTAACTCACTAAAAATAATACCACCTATCCCATGATATTCATTGCTACCTAATATTAGATGTTAAATGACAATAATGAATCGGGTTAGGATTAATGAGAAATTAATATTAGGTTGCTATAACTCAATTCATACTTCGTATTATACATCATCACCAAATTAAATTAATCTAATTCAATCTCTTAATACCTAAAGCAAATTTACCCCAAGTGTATTTCGTAACATCGAGTAATATAGCATTTTCAATCACTAAGTTGGATCCATGCCTTAATGAAATCCCCGTCTCATTTTGATATGGGACTTGGATGGAAGGATGATTGGAATGGTGGAGGGAAAAATAGAAAAAAAAAGTCTGAGTCAAAAAAAGAGTATTGTACTTTTTACCCCTCGAAGTTTGCATCTATTAGCAGGTTAATGTAGTAAAAAAATTAGGGACCAAAGTGAAAATAGATGTTGCCGTCAATGGTGACTATCAATGTCTTACGATGAAGAGTTCTCCTTTACCAGGTCGCCGGAGTAGAAACAAGATCCTCCACTAGCATCACCCATCTAACGAGTTATGGGTCTACAATCGTTTGACCAAGGATCAAATAAACGCTTGAGAAATTGCTGGTTTCAGTGCAATCGCACCATTGCAGCAGGAGTGGCTTGGAGGGTTGTAGATGGTATATAAGGGTTTGAATGTCTCGGTGGTTGTAGATGGTATAAATGTTTCCAAAAGCCACCTTATCGTGCATCTCTTTGTGCTAATTCTACTATTGATGGGTACAATTCAACTGTTGTATTATCAACCCTTGTGAATTTATTTTTTTGGGTTTTTGTAGATTTTAATTTGATAAAATCAGTTGTGTTACACAAATAAATGATACGGTGGAGATAATATATTTGAATCTATTTTTGCTCTGTAGTTGCTCAACTGTTGCTGATTTTTTGCTTTGCTCATCATCTGTTGCTAATTTTTTGCTCATCATCTGATTTTTTTGCTCTATTGCTGATTTTTTGCTCATTTGTCGCTGATTTTTTGCTTTGCTCATCATCTATTGCTGTTTTTTTTGTTACCCTGTAACTAAGACCCCCAGCAACTCAGAAATACCCTCCAAAGTTCCTGATTTTTATTTTATTTTTCTAAATTAAACAACCATAATGCGCAAGTGCTTAAATAAGTCTTACAAAATAAATGCTTAACTTTATTAACTAATAGTTCCATTATTTGACAAACTGAAATATCTAAACGAACCTAAGAGAGACGGTTCCAAATACCCTTTCAACTAATAATCAAAAGAAACACCAACTAAATACCATACATGAAATCTGATCCATGAAATTTCTCCCTTGTAATGGCATCAAGGCGCTCAATCATCTCAGACTTGAAGTGATTTTTATGATCACCAACCTCACCTTGTCTAAAGAAGGAATTATAAGGCACTGGGGACCAACTGGGCGAGTCATTGGATTTGTTCACCTCATGATTCTTTAAAGTTTCGATGGAACAACTCTTCACAACCATCTCCACCTCCAATTCTTTATCATCACCCACAAAGGGGCACCCCAGGAACTCAGCCAGCTTCTTAACCTGGGTTTTGGGGTCATTTTTCAATTCCTCATAAGTTATAAAGTACACTTTTTGAGGTTTTTCCAAGCTCTCTTTCCAATATTCCAACACATGATCATAGTAAGGTCCAAAAGGGACAACACCTCTGCAGAACTTGTCTACAGCCACATCTAATGTCCATGGCTTAGTCTCCGGGCTCTTCGACTTCCCCAGGAAATGCCACATGGAATTGAGGGTGTCCTTGGGATTCCTGGTAACATAAACAACCTTACAAGCCGATGAATTGACGTTATCGGCCAAAAACTGATAAGGTAGATGTGTATTGAAGATCCCAGACCCAGCCGGGGGAAAATTGTCTGCCGAAATATCAGAAGAGGGCAGGTGATGTGGATAAACTTGAATCTCTAGTGAGGGAACAAGTTCATGAGGATGATTCAGAATCAAGGACTCTTTTGACGAGCGATTAACGATAGAGTAAAGGAGGGATTTGAGCCATGTTGTGCCCGTTTTCGGAAAAGAAGCTAAGATTACATCAGTTGGAAGGGGTCTGAAATTGTTCTTGATCTGTTGGGCTGCTTGGAGGGATGGAAGCCAAAACCAGTAGCCATGGAATTGGTGGAGCTCCAGATTTCCCCACCATTTTTCTTTTGGTAGGGATGAATCATAATCATCGTTGAGATGGGAGCTCTCCATCAGATGAAAGAAGCAATATCACCTGAATTTATCGTCTATGAATGACAGGTAGCTATACAGAGCCAAGGGCAAAAATATAACATAAAACAAAGTCAAAATTTTTATTTAAAGAAACAACGAAAGACATTGACATGTTATTCAATACCTTATGTTCAATTATTTCTAGAGTGTCTCCTGTTTCCCTCCAATAATTGGTGAGGTATTCACATGAATCGCATCCCATGTTAGAGGTATTCACATGATTCAAATTTTTATTCAAATTTAAATTAACATTTGACTAAAATGTTTGATTTGATACAAAAGTCTCCAATTGACAAACTCAAATTTAAATGAGAAAACTCAAATTTAAATGAGAGTAAAATATGACTATTAAATTTTTCAAGGATGGTAAAATCTCACAATTAGTAAAAATTTGAGTCTTCCTTGATTTGATTAAAAAAATGTGTCTCCCTTGATTTGATATGAGTTTAGTAGTTATAGGGTTGAAGAATGCTTTTAATAGTTTTTTACTCTAATTTAAATTTGGGTCTAAAAATTGGTAAGGGTTGAAAATGCCCTTAATAGAAGCAATTAGGAGGAGATTACAACCAATAATTCTTTTAGAAAAATGTTAATTGGACTTAAAAAATTGACTTATTCAATCACAATTATTGAAAAAATAGTGAATCCCAATAAATATTGAGACTCATAGTTAAATTAATGACAATGATTGATCAAGTCAACAAATCAATTCAACATTTTCAGTTCATTTAGTATTGCTCATTCTTTTATCATTGTGCTTTGGTATGTGATCACTTACAAAATCTCTAATACAGACAAAGATATTGTCAAAGGGTAATGCTATTTAGAACTAAAAATTTGACTTAATTTATTTACCAATTAATATACATAATTTTATTAAAATTATTGGATCAACATCAAGTTCTAATATTTGATGGAATCCAAATTATATTTTTATCATTAAATAATAAATAATTCTATTAAACGCTTAATAGTTGATATAGTATTAACATAAAATATTTATTAGATTTAATGTTAATCCCCATAATTGAAAGTAAACAATACGTGACTAATAGAACAAATGTGCAATGTCAGACCCTCTAGGTGTTATTATTATATGTTGTATTGACAATAAAAAATTTATTAACAATATCAATTCAAATCCAAGCAAATCCAACTTGTAAAAACAAAAACAAGTGAAAATTGGTAAAAAGTCTGTCCAAATGGTTTTTTAAGTCATTAAATATAGTTATAGTGTTTTTTGTAAGTCCAAGTGTTTTTCTTGTTCTCTAATCCATTCTAATTAAATATATTTTTAAATGACTATCGAACCCTTATGAATATCAAACTAATTAAATATTTTTCTATCATATTCTCTCTCTCTCTCCCAAACACGGCGTAAGACTTGTCCTCAAAGCCTCAAAGCTCAAAACCTCAAAGCTACGAAGATCATCGTCATGGCTCTCGATCTTAGTTCTCTCATCTCCCTCTGGGGATTCATTGCGAAATTTGAGATTCTTGACTTGCCTTTGAATTTCTTTATGTAACTCCTAAAATCTGCTTTATTTTTTCCTCACCTGAATACACACACTTATATATTATATATGTATTAGTTATTGCATGTGCCTGAATATACGGAGTAATAAAAAAAAAGGTCAAAATAAACATATTTGTATTTACAACTAAAATCAAATTACAAACATAGAGTAAAGAGAAAAGAATTTAAATAGGCAATGGATTTGAACTTTCTAGAAAGATAAAATGTTTATTGTATCTAACATATTTCTTATAATTAAAATATAAATATGCCTAAAATGTATTGAATTCATCAGTTATAACAAGTATTAAATTTTCATAATTATTTTAAGTCAATTTATTTGTGTTAATAAAATTTTGATTTTCATTATGGATAACATGAATTTATTTTTGTTATAAACTTTATTTTCAATGATATTTTAAGTGAATTTATTGTTTTAATAGAACTTTGATTTTCATTATATGTACCATGAATTTATTTGTACCATAGCCTTTATTTTATTTTTTTTGAATTTATCTATTTTAGTAAGCCATAGAATTTTGAACTATTTTAATTCAATTTATTTGTATTAATAAAACTTCAATTTTCATTACTTTTTAAATTTATCTATTTTATCTGTTTTTGAATTTGTCTATTTTCTCTATTTTAAATTTATTTGTTTCATGTGTAGGTGGTGGTGGTGGCGGCGATGGTGAAGCTGGGTGTTGTGAAATCTTATCTTTATCTGTTTTGAATTTTTGTTTAAATTTATCTATTTTTGAATTTATCAGTTCCAAATGTGAGTGGTGTTGGTAGTGGGTGGCGACAAGTAGTGGTGGTGTTGGGGTGGTGATGGGCAATGATGGTAGTGGTGGTAGTGGACGGTGGTGGCGGGGGGGTATGAGTGGCGCCGACGGTGATGGTGGTGGCGGGTTTTTACTGTTTTTTGAGTTCACTAATTTTTCACTATTTTTGAGTTCATCGTTTCATTCTAGAAGTTTCATTCTAGTCATTCTATTAAAGTTAATTATTTGTGAAATTTTTGGTACTAGAAGTTTCATTCTGTTAAAGTTCACTGTTTGTGTTTTTTTTCAATATTTTTTGAGTTCACTATTTTTGATAAATATTTATCAATTCAAAATTTAAAAATATGTAGTTCACTGTTTGTGAAAATTTTGAAAATAAATTAAGAGTTTCATTATATTAAACTTCATTATTTGTGAATAATTTTTGAACTAGGAGTTTCATTCTATTAAAGATCATTGTTTATATTTTTTTCAGTATTTTTTGAGTTCACTGTTTTTGATATACATTTCTCAATTTAAATTTTTAATATTTTTTATAGTTTACTTTTTGTAAAAATTTTGGACATTGAACTACAAGTTTCATTGTATTAAAATTTATTTTTTGTTTGTATGCGTGTACATGGACGAAAAATAGAGGAGAGAGAAAAAAATTTAAGAAGGAGAAAGGAGAATGAGTAAGAGAGAGAGGTGTGTGATGAAAAATAAACTATATTTCTTAATTTAAATTTTCAATTTTTTGGAGTTCACTGTTTGTGAAAATTTTGAACAGTGAAATAGAAGTTTTATTCTATTAAGGTTCGGCATTTTAATTTTTTTTCTTGCACTAAGAGTTTCACTCTATTAATGTTCATTATTTATTTATTTTTCAATATTTTTTTAGTTCATTATTTTTTATAAATATTTTTCAATTCAAAATTTTATTATATTTATAGTTCACTGTTTGTGAAAATTTGGGATAGTAAATTAGGAGTTTTATTTCACTAAAGTTCATTGTTTGTGAAAAATTTGTGAACTAGTAGTTTTATTCTATCAAAGTTCACTGTTTTTGAAGTTCATTGTTTATAAATTTTTCAATATTTTTTGTATTTCACTGTTTTTGAGAAATATTCTTCAATTCAAATTGTTAATATTTTTGTAATTCACTGTTTGTGAAAATGTTGGACAATGAACTAGGAGTTTCATTCCATTAAAATTCACTATTTGTGAACATTTTGTAAAGTATGAGTATTATTTTGTTAAAGTTTACTGTTTATGTATTTTTCAATATTTTGATTTCACTATTTTTTTTTCTATTTTGGGTGGTGGTGGTGGGCGACGATAATGGTTGTTCACTATGTTTAGTTCACAGTGAACTAAGAGTTTCATTTTATTAAAGTTTACTATTTGTGAAAATTTTTTGTGAAGTATGAATTTTATTGTCTTAAAGTTCATTATTTTTATTTTTTACAATATTTTTGAATTTGCAGTTTTTGTAAAATATTTTTCAATTCAAATTTTTAATATTTTTGTAATTCACTGTTTGTGAAATTCTTGGACAATGAACTAGGAGTTTTATTTTATTAAATTTTATTATTTGTGAAAATTTTGTGAACTAAGAGTTTCATTATATTAAAGTTCACTATTTATATTTTTTTTCAGTATTTTTGAGTGTACTAGTTTTTCACTATTTTTTGTGGTGGTTGACGGTGATGGTGGGGTGGAGGGTGGCGATGGGTGTTAGTGGTGGTGATGGGTTTTAGGTGATGATGGTTGGCAGAGGCGATGGTGGTGGGTGGTTGTAACAGTGGTGATAGCGTTGGTGGGTATTGGGTGGTTGACAACGGGTGGTGGTGGGTGGTCAATGGTGATGGCAGTGGGTGGTCGATGATGGTGGCGACGACTAATGTTAGTGGGTGGTGGTGGTTATTGGTCATGGTTTATAGGTGATGGTGGTGATGAGTGGGGGGTGGTGGGGGGTTATAGGTGATGATGGTTGGTGGCGATGGTGGTAGGGGTTAGGTGGTGGTGGCGGCAAGTGGTGATTGTGTTGGTCGCGACGAGTGGTGGTTGGCGACGGTGGTGGTAGTTGGCAGCGATGGTGGGTGGTGGTGATGGGTGATAGTGGTGGTGGGTGGTCAATGGGGGTGAGGGTGGGGGTGTTTGTTGGTGGTGGCCGCAGATGGTGGTGGGTGGTAGTGGAGACGACGGGTGTTGGTTCGTGGTGGGTGGTGACAGGTGGCGGCGGCAACGGGTAGTGATAGTGGAGGTGAGTGGTAGGTTTTAGGTGGTGGTCATGGATGGTGATGGGTGATGGTGGTAGTGGCGGTGGGTGGTTGTGGTGAGTGACGGGTAATGGTGATGGTGATGGTGGTAGTGGATGGTGATGATGGGTGGTGGTGTCGGCGAGTAATGGTAGGTGATGACGGATAATTGTGGTGGGCACAATGGTGGGTGGCGGCTAGCAATGGCGGGTAGTGGTGATGAGCAATGTGACAGTGGTGTGTGGTGGCGGCGGTGGGATGTTGATGGTAGTGGTAACAAATTTAAGAATGGAATAATGGTAGAGGTTTTTAAATAACATCCTTCATTAAAGGTATTTTTGTCAATGGTTGATTTTATACACTTTTTGCCTTAAAAGTGTTCAGGCTGAACCTCAAGCCAAAAAAGTTCATTATTTTTGTTAAAGTGTGTTTGCTTTTGGCGTTAGGAAAAAGGATTGGAAAAAATAGTATGTGGCCTACCTTATCCCATTTATTCCAATTTTTGGCTAGACAT